GACCTGATTCCTGTCAAGGTGCCTCGCTGGAAACGGATGTAAAGTCCGCGGTCAACCCCGTTCACGACTCAGAGCAGAGCGAGACCCCGAGAGTTGTTTGCGAGCAACTGGAAGACGCATCCGCTGGCAAGAGTTCAGCAGGCGAAGACTAGAGAAATTGGTTATGACGCGATGGTACTGCTACAGCGATACCAGGGGAAGAGAGTACGTCGTGGAGAAGATGTTCACGATGGGAATCACGAATGACGCTGGTGGGCAGACCAAGTTCATCACAAGAAAGAAACTGTGAAAGTTCCTGAGAATAAAGAACAAGTCAATCGAGCCAACATGCCACACCAACCTTCTGCGTCCGAGCATATCTGGAAACTTCATGTAATGCCAACAAGCATAGTGTCTGACAGAGACAAGAAATTCGTTTTGACGTTCTGGAAACACGTCTTCAAATCAATTGGAACAACGCTCAAGATAACAGTAGCGCATCGAGCTTAGAGAGATGGACAATCGCAGCGGATGAAACGGACGCTCGAAGAATACTTACGGTGCTACGTTGGGCCAGTTCAAGACGACTGGGATATCTGTCTTGCCAACGCTGAGTTTGCAATAAATTAGACCGTGAACATCAGTATCAAGATGACGCCTTTCGAAGCCGATCTCGGATACCTCTCAATGTGCAGCTGAGAATCGTGGCAAGGTCCCCTCAAGTCAAATGGGTGCTGAGTCAACGAGCGCCAAGCAGCTCTTCTTCGGCGGTACCAGGAAGAACTAGCGGAAGCGCAAGAACGAATGCTCGACGTTTACGACCGAAACCGAGAGAGGCAAGTTTTCGAAATTGGCGACCGAGTATACTTGAGCACTAAACACTTGGATCGCAGACATACCGGGTTACTCAACTCTAGCAAGCTTGGTCCGAAGTGGATAGGTTGTGAAGAGGATCCACAATCATGCGTACGAGCTCAACATCCAAGCGGGTAACAACCTTCATTCTGTCTTCAACACCGGGTCTTTGAAGCCATAAGAGGACGCTACTCGGATGTCGAGGTCCCATGATGTCGTTCTAGCCGACGGAACTGTTGGGCAACTCATTCAGAGACTTCTTGGTAAGCGAACTCACAAGTGACTAACCCAAATTCTTGTCGAGTGGGTGGGTGAGGAGAAACTCACTTGGGAGCCGATCTAAAATCTCTCGCAAGTCCCAAATCTCATTGCAAACTTTGCAGCAGTCAGGACAAAAAAGCGGCGAAAACGATGAACGGCTAAGTCAAGAGTAAAAGGCCTACATGTATTCCCGTGCTACACCCCCTACAACTTCTGCTTCTTCTC